TAGTAGCTTCTTGTTACTACTAGTAAGGCACTTGTTACAAGTGCCACGCTAGTAGTAACAAGTGCCTCGCTACTAGTAACAAGAAGCTATTAGAATTAAATTACAATTAAAATCAACTACTAGCTTCTTGTTCCTAATAGCTTCTTGCTCCTAGTAGCGATGCGATCCCCTAGTAGCTTCTTGTTACTACTAGTAAGGCACTTGTTACTAGAAGCGATGCACTTGTTCCTAATAGCTTCTTGCTCCTAGCAGTATGGCCAGGAGCCCCCAGTAGCGTCCTTGCTCCTAGTAGCGGTGCCAGGAGCCCCTAGTAGCGAACATTGTTCCTAGTGCGCTCGTCGGAGGTGTGTTGAATTGTGAGGCTCTTACGCCTTTGGCCGTCATACCAACCTACTAGCAATGGCCTCCAACCTACTAGCGATGGCCTCCAACCTACTAGCGATGGCCTCCAACCTACCAGGGACGGCCTCCAACCTACCAGGGACGGCCTCCAACCTACCAGGGACGGCCTCCAACCTACATCTAAGTGCTACAAATTCGGAACTGAACTGAAACATACAAAAGCGATTTCTTTTCGTCGCAAATTCCAATGTTGTTACTTCGTGTCACTTCCTTCGAGCAATATGTCCCATTTCGTTTGCTGAAGATGAAGTTCTTGTAACAGCAGAATCTAGAGTACTATAGGACCAATGAAATAATGGACCAATTTACTTGCAGGTTCGCCAGCAGCCAGAATACTGAGGACATGTGCACGGGGTTTGGGTGGCTCTCGGCCGCAGGCGTTCATGGAGATGTGCGCGTCCGCGCAGATGATTTTATTTGTGACCAAGGCACGCCGCGGACTAGTAGCTCCTTGCTCCTAGTAGTAAGGCCAGGAGCCCCTAGTAGCGTCCTTGCTCCTAGTAGCGATGCCCTTTGCTCCTAGTAGGATTGATGATGTGGTTTCCACTGAGAAAAATGTGACAAGCCTTGAAGTCTTTTGGAACTCATCGCTAGTAGGATGGAGGCCATCGCTAGTAGGTTCAAGTCTTTTGGAATGGTAGACGATTGTTGATACGTGTTGCCATGCAAGGCTATGACCCTGCGACGCACTTGGCGCGCAACAGCCCCAAAGATGATCGTTTGGATGCCACGACATATCACACCATTGGCACCGTGAAACGGGTGATTCGATGCACTCAAAAAAGATCCCGCATGGGAATCGTTTTGTGTGTGCAAAGTTGTTCACAAAATGGCGACACGATTGTTTAAGTAAAATACCATTCGGGCCAATTGAGGTAAACTCTCGCACGTATTCTAAGTATTCATCCATTCTATCAAGAATCCTACGATCATGTAACTTTCCTTTGTCGTTTTGTTGGAGGGTACATCATCAGCTGTTGGCAGGATGTGAAAAAATCGGTGGGCGCAACAGTATCTCCTTATGTTCATCCTCATTGGAGTAACGGAAGCCATGTCAAGTTGGTCCTTTTTAGTCACAAAAGGCCAAAGTGAACACACGTGCAATAACCTACAAGATCAACTTTGCCAAGCTTGTGAGTGTGGTCCATCACTGATCAGGTTGTAGATGGCACGGTCGATGCTGAACACTTGAGCCGAGGCCTTTTAGGCTTTTGCGCAGGTGGTTCGAGCTCAAGATGCTGAACACTTCTGGATCCTGCAGTTTTTACAATTAAGAACATTGTTTCTAATAGCTTCTTGTAATAGCTTTTTGTTACTACTAGGCAGTAAAACCGTTTTCGTCTTTTTTGTTTGCGCATGTTTGCGCTGACAATACTGGAACGCAGCTTCAGGTTTCTGGTGCTTCAACGTGTTTATGCCACATCGCCCAATAGGAAGCTTTGACCAGCGCCCACGCGTTAACTAGCGCAGCCGCGTTGAGTTCTCGAATGCTTTCAGTGCAGAAGCTTCTCCAATTTCTGGATTTGTCCTTGAAGGGCTCCTGCAGTGCACCTTTGTCTCGTCACAAAAGCAAGCCCACCTGGAGTGGCTCATTGAGCCAAGCGAAACGGAGATGGAGTGCAGCAGGGATGGCCACCTATTTTGATCACCTTGCAACCGGTGCCGCATCTGGGAATGGCCTTCCAAGCGTTAGGGAGCCTTTTCATGCCTTTTCCGCTTTTTGGACAGGCCTGGGTCGCTCTGACCGTTTGATGTTACTCATTTTGGACGATTTCCGCTCCTTATTTGCACTCCAAACAACCTAATAGCGGTGGCCTCCAATGCTCCCAATTCATGTCGGTGTCGTCTGCCGGGGTGATCAGGTGAGTTTCTCCAGCATGTGCAGGTGAAGGTTGGGAGGTTGAGTTTCTCCAGCCCTTGCTCTGCACCACAATGCTCAAACTCGAAGTTGGCATGAAAGCTGTCAACCTGGCACTCACCTGACCAAGGAATTCATGACATCTGACTAAACGTGGGTCTTTAAGAAAGGCAGGCGTGCCCTGTCTGGCTGCATCTTTGACAATAGCCCTTTCTGTTCAACTTTGTTCGGTTTTAGGTGGCAAATAAGCATGAAGTTACCAGGTTGGAGGCCATCGCTCCAATGAGCCTGCAGCATGAAGAGAGCAGCAAGCAATCTTGCATACAGGGTTCTGTTCTTTCCGGAAGTCCAATTTGTTTTATTCTCCGCAGGGGTTGGAGCACAAATCTTGGCAAAGCCAAGGTCGAAATTTCAGCAATTTCACGGAAGACTCCAAGCGGGCGCGCCGGGGAAGTGGAGGGGGCGAACAGAAGAACGGAAGTCTAGGCATAGAGAAACCCTTTTCGGTTTGAGCTGCCCTAAGCTGCAAGTTAGCTCTTTGATGCTGTTTGTTTCCGAAGTCAACGATCACTTAGAGGGTAGTGGTACCTGTGCTGCTCCGAGCCGGACGTGATCGGTGTTCTTCTTTGCTCGCCTCTTTTGAAAGAATGTATGTCCGAGACGGACGTATCAATGTTTTGATGTCATTTCCTGCTTGGAGGTACACTTGAAAGCGCCCCACAGGCGTTTTCCTCGTCCTTTCAGGCCCGTGAAAGGTGAAGAAACTGTTGCCTAGGAACAAGGACGCTACTAGGAACAAAGGGCATCGCTATTAGTAACAAGTGCCTTACTACTAGTAACAAGAAGCTACTAGGAACAAAGGGCATCGCTACTAGGGGCAAGGACACTACTAGGGGCGCTCCTGGCGGTACTAGGAACAAGAAGCTATGAACGTAACAACGGGCCTTTACCCGCGTCTTTTGTGGAGGATTCTTACCGGCAAAAGAGTCGGCAACTCAGGATGAGATCTAAGCACGAAGCAAACAGGGTTTCGCCTGGCCCATTAACCTAGTCATAGCCTATAGCTATATGAAATGTTGCAAAATCGCACCCATCAGAAACAACGCTACTAGTAGCTCGCGGCCTTACTAGTAAACAAGGACGCTACTAGGAACAAAGGGCATCGCTACGAACGCAGCAAAAATGCAACTAGTAACTAGTAGGCACTTGTTTCTAGTAGCAAACATTGTTTCTAATAGCAAACATTGTTACTACTAGTAAGGCACCTGTTACTACTAGCGTGGCACTTGTTACTACTTGCTCCTGGCCGGCTTTGCTCAAAGTTGCGTTCGGCTGGTAGTTGCCAGGTCTGAGGTACACATCGGCTTTTTACATGTCTTCGTTACTCTGATTTCAAAAGTTTTGGGCCAAAACGAAGAAGAAGGTGTGTCACGGTGTCTGTGTGTTGCACCTCTAACCGTTGCACTCAAAGGTTCAGCGTCGTGTTTTTGCGCTGCGCTTGCATGGAGTTGAGTCGCCAGAGGAGGCGAGAACACGTTTTTGAGCAGACCAAGTTGCTCAAAGAATGGTCAACATGTGTTATCATGAGTTACAAGGCCATCGCTATTGGAAACAAAGAAGAAAAAGGAATAAATAGGTCTAACGGTAGTTACTAGTAGCTTCTTGCTACTAGTAATGCCCTTGTTACGTTCGTAGCAAGGACGCTACTAGTCGTTTGAGCATTGGTTGACACTTCGCTTCGTTCGTGTAGGCAGTGGCACTCCGAGGCTACAGAGTTTTCGTGTTCGTGGCTTAAAGGAGGTGCTCAGTGTGCTCCCCTATAGTTTTCCTCATGGAACTTAAGGCTACAGGAGTAGGTCAAGTAGGTAGCTGGATAGATCTGGATAAGAGGCAGCTGCTTCTGGCGGACAAGTTTCCTTAAAGAACCCTCTTAGCATGGTCGAAAGGGCTTCCATGTTCGAACGACATTGATGTGCCCAGGTTGGAACCACCTCCAACTCCAGAGGAAAAGGCTAAGGTGCAAAGATGACAAAGCATTCACATTTAATGCTCATGTGATGCTCACACAACGTTGACCCTTCAGAAATCAGAAATGGCTGAATGCGTTCTGCAGGATGAAGAGCAAGCAGGCAATGAGTCTCACAAATGTCGAACAAGTGCCGAACCATGCGGAGCCAACAGCTTTTCACCACGGGCTGATTGTCCAATGTGAATCTCAGAGGAGTTGACCTTTATGATGCTGGGACTACCAAGTTTCACACACGCCCGCAGCCCAGTTTCACATGGCGAGAGACATCGACAACGGGATTTGGTATGTCCAAGTCGAGGTGATGCTTTGGGGTTGATCGGCTCCAAATGCGTGATGGTCACAGGGGAGGCCAGCTACATTTCAACCTGTTTGAACAACAGTTTGGAACATGCCCAGAACATGTTTGTTTTGAATCGAAGAAGGACAATATGTAAGATTGAGGGTAGAGGACCCTGTAATGATGCCCTTGCCGTCCTTTTTTGTTCGTTAGTTTATGTGGCCTAGAGGGATTCACTGAAAGCTTAGTCTAGCGTTTTGCCGGCTCGTCAAGTGAAGTGTCATGATTGAAAGACGAAAGATCATTCAAGTTTCCCCAAACATCTTTATGGTTGGAGGCCATTGCTAGTAGGTTGGAGGCCATCGCTCTTAGATTGGAGGCCATTGCTATTAGTTAAGTTTCCCCAAAAATCTAGGAACCAAGAGTTAAATTTCAATAAAAACATCTAGGAATCAAATCAATCACGCGAGGAAGCTTTCTTGAAGAAGCCTGAGCTCTTCTGCATCCCAGCTACTTGTAGCGCTACTTACTAGTAGCTACTGCGTACTACCCTTTACACAGTTTGCTACTAGCTTCATTACGACTTACCCGCCAAGAACAATCTGTCATTCTTCCATGTCTTCGTTTCACTTCGTGTCAGGTGTCAACAGAGACCTTGGGCTCCTTTGCAGCAGCAGAGACGCCGGAAGAGGCCAAAGAGGCCGAACCGAACACGGGTGAGATGCCGTTTGAGCGGCAAAAGAGGATAGTTTAAATTAAGAAAGTAAGAATGCTTATTGTTACGAACGTAGTAAGAATGCTCCTAGTAGCGATGCCAGGAGCCCCTAGTAGCGTCCTTGCTCCTAGTAGTAAGGCCAGGAGCCCCTAGTAGCGTCTTTTCTTAAGAGTCTTTTGTTCAAATTTAAGCGATGGCCTCCAACCTACTAGCCATGGGAACTGAATTAAGAGCTTGTTTTCCTTTAGGGGGGCCTCTTCAAGGGAGGGTGGAGGGATACACATACGTCATGTCATTACCCCATTACCCACACATGAGGTTGGAGTTGACACATTCTAGATGAAGGGCACGTTCACCTGTTTGAGCAAAAGGTTCTTTCGCAAGCTGGAGCGGGTATGAAGCACTTTGGATTTCTGTCTGCAGTGGTTGGATCCCCAGACATTCAACATAAGCCATTCGATGGAGGACAGTTGACTGCATTCGCGTTGAGCTTTTCTCAGCCACAAGCAAAACATATGCATTTTGAGACAGACTTGAGAACGTTGAACTTGGGAGAGGATTTTGAGGCGTTTGGAAAATACACCTATAGAACAGCAGAGCACTGTCAGAACAGTAGAGAACTGTCAAGCAAATCGTGAACTTTTCTTCACAAGGCTAGAGCATGGCACCCAAATCATAATCCACAAACTATTCAGAAATCTATCATATGTTGTTTTCATTCAAAGCACACAAAGTGACATACCAGGTATCTTCCACCAGAATAAAAAATCTCTGTTAGAGAATGGTGGAAATACTTTGAACGCATTTGTGTGGGTAGAATGTGAGACCTTCCAAGAATGTTCGAGAGGCTGTAAAATCCAACGCAATCAACTCAATTAAAATGACTTGATTTGAATCTTTCTAATTTTAAATTGTTTCTAATAGCTTCTTGTTACTACTAGTAAGGCACTTGTTACTAGAAGCGATGCACTTGTTCCTAGTAGCTTATTGTTACCTCTTGGATTCTGTGCAATACTTGTCTTTGAAGTGGCCGTGCAGTTGAATCAAACCAGTTGGCAGCTTTGACAACTTTCCATTTGGGCGCAAGGGGGTTGTTTAGAGGGCTCCTGTTTTTGGAGCGCTACACTTCTAGATCCCAGCGCCCCCAAAGCGGAACCCCAAACCAAGTAGAGAGTTTCCACGAAAGACGCTACTAGTAGCTCCTGGCCTTACTACTAGGAGCAAGAAGCTACTAGTAACAAAGGGCATCGCTACTATGAGCCAGGACGCTACTAGTAGCTATTTGCTACTCGTAGCAATGCCCTTGTTTTTTCGTAGCGATGCCCTTGTTACTACCAGCAAGGACGCTACTAGTTTCCACGTTGCCATTCTCTCAGTTTGACTGTTCAGGTGGCCTGAAAGCAACACCTTCAAACGAACAAAATGCCCCAGGCCACCCTTTGATTTGAAGAGCAGTTGTTTTAAAAGGTGCAAAGCAAACAACAGTTTGACTATGTTTGACTCATGTTTGCGGTTTTTGCAAGCTTTTTGTACACATTTGGTTGCATCTTAAGCACAAAGTCGAAAACAATACTATTAAATAGTATTCAATACTAAAATATACTTAGCTAACATCATTCCAACATACAATTTCATTCTATTTTGTACCAAATTGAGATTGGCCAAACATCCCTGATCTAGACCGTACGTTGGTTCCAATGAATGTGACAAAAAAAATCATGCACGGGCTTGGCTAGCAGAAGTTATTTGGCGTTTTGTAAAGAAAGCCATACCATATTGATTAGTACTTAGTAGGAGGCCATCGCTCTCAGGTTGGAGGCCATCGCTAGTAGGTTGGAGGCCATCCCTATCAGGTTGGAGGCCATCGCTACTAAGTCGAATGTGGACCCCAAGGTGCCTGACTATAAGATCTCTCGCAGACATCGGGGACGAAAGGCGGGAGACGTGCGTTCCTGTCTCCGTCAACAGACTTCGGCAATTCAATGGCATTCACAACGATTGCGTTCGCTTTTAAATGTTTGAAGCATGAGCTTTGGGCATCCTCAAACCTTGTTTCTTGGTGCTAAGTGTTTTCAACGGTTTGGAGAAGATGGTCTGTTCCTCATGTTTAAGCTGCCAAGCTGCCTGTCTCAAGTTTCGTAGAGGTCTTAGGTTGTGTGGTAACTTGTGTGAAGAGCCTCAGATCGTTGGCCTCGCTACTAGGAGCAATGTTCGCTACTAGGGGCTCCTCGCTTCGCTACTAGGAGCAAGGATACTTTGGTTTGTTCAGACTGTTCACGTTGGAGGCCGCACATGACCTTCTTGACATCACGCTAGTGGATGAGGCTGGAAGACGGCTGAAATATGAAAGGCCAGCCGTATCAACTTGCCAGGTGATGGGAGGCGAAGGGACGTATCTCTACGAGCCGGATCCGGACTGGTTTCGGATTGAGAGATCTGAGGGAACCCATTCAGAAACAGCCTCCAACCTATCCAACCTACTAGCGATGGCCTCCAACCCAAGAGCGATGGCCTCCAACCTAATAATAGCAATATTCAATTTCATGATCGCACTGTAATCACTTCTTGTTACTAGTAGCTACTTGCTCCTAGTAGTAAGGCCAGGAGCTCCTAGTAGCGTCCTTGCTCCTAGTAGCGATGCCCTTTGTTACTGGTAACTTCTTGCTACTAGTAGCGAGGCCCTTTGCTCCTAGTAGCGATGCACTTGTTACTAGTAATAAGGCAATAAAGTGATAAAACATGTGGCGTTGGAAGAGCCAACAAGACAGGTCCGCGAAAGGACCCAAAATGATCGACGTGGACCATGAGCCAAGACATGCGTCGGCTCAAAAGGAACCAGAAGACGCCATCTTTGCCTTTCAAAACCTTCACTGTAGTGATTCTTCTTCAGCTGTTTCCGCAATTTCGAGTATGAAACATTGTTCACTACCTGACATGATTGGGGTAGCTAGATTTTGGATAGACGGGTTCAACCCACTATCATGACCTGCTGCAGCATATCACCCAGCGTAATGACAAACACAGCAGGCAAGTGACCCATAGAACACACATAACCACAGCACATCGATGGCCTCCAACCTACTAACAATGGCCTCAATATATGCGATGGCAACGCAAAATGGCAACGCTCACACACCATACTTGACCGACTTGACAACACAGAGAACAAACGACACAAACAATGACAGCACTGAACACAAGGTTCCGCAACACGCGACACTTGACAACGCACAAGGACAAACGCAACAACAAACAACAACATAGGAACCTACTAGCAATGGCATAGCAATGGCCTCCAACCTAGTAGCATTCTTGCTACAAACAACAACATGCATAAATGATAACGCCAAATGCAACCACGACATATTTCGACGCAGGGATGCCACCACTGGCTCCTCAGCTCGTCTATCGTCAGTGCGTAAAGAGAAGATCACACAAACCACCTCAAAAGTAGCGCCCGGGTTACGGCTGCAGGCCCGCACAAGTATACCTCGCACGAAAAGAAGAACAATCATATTATGCAGCCTTTTCTCAGCCTTCTTTCATCCAGGAGTCTGCAGCCGGAAGGTCGCCATTGTGCTGCCGTTGTTGAAAAGAAGATGTAATTGACGAAGCTGCCACTACTAGGAACAAGAAGCTACAAGGGGCTCCTGGCCTTACTACTAGGAGCAAGGACGCTACTAGGGGCTCCTGGCATCGCTACTAGGAGCAAGGACGCTACTAGGGGCTTTACAAAGGGTGCTTCAAATTTGCCTGCTTTGAAATGGATTTGTCCTTGGATTGCTGTTTTTAGGGCATTGGACATGGACAGCTGGCGCACTGCAGATCCTGATTTTGAGCGCGCTCTTGTCTAAGTGCATGTTCGTGTTGCTTCGGTTGCAAAGGTTCCTTCTTTGGCTTAGAGTGAGAATGAAAAAAGAAGGTAAAGGGCTCCTTGAAATAGGGCCTCCCCTTTTTAGTGTGGACCAATAGAAAGGAGCTCAAACACCAGACTAAGCTCAAGAGCGTGCAGTTGGACTCGTTATTCCGAGGTGGTCTATGTGCCCTTCGTTCCAGATCTCATTGCTCGCGTTGACGCAGACAGGGCAGGAAGTACCGCTTGCACCTGAGAGTTCCCATACCTTTCGAAACGATTCCTTTAGTAGCTTCTTGTTACTACTAGTAAGGCACTTGTTACTATTAGCGATGCACCTGTTACTAGTAGCAAAGGGCATCTGTTCTTTTGAAACCTGTTTTAACTTATCAATTTGCAGGTCTATTTCACTCTTTCTGATGACTATATCGAGGCGAGTGATTGTTTTTCTTGACCTGTTTGCGAAACAGATGTTGGTGCCAGAAAACTTCCTTCAGTAGGTTGGAGGCCATCGCTCTTGTTACTAGTAATAAGAATGCTCCTAGTAGTAAGGCCAGGAGCTACTAGTAGCGTCCTCGCTCCTAGTAGCGATGCCCTTTGCCCCTAGTAGCATCCTTGCTCCTAGTAGCGATGCGCTGTCTTCTTGCCAGAAAACTTCCTTCTCCTGCCGGAAGCGCATTGTGGATGAACGAGGGCTTTTGGTGATCCCCCGAGGGCCTCAGGTGCAGAGCTAAGTCAACTTAATTGAGACATGAGACACAACATCAAATCTAGAAGCTTGCACGTGGAGTCTATGTTCAATGTTCACCTACTTCCACCCCCTTTCAACAAGACAAATATGTCTTGCACATTCGGGTTCACCGATGTTCACCTGATGTTTTGGCGCTTTGTGTTTTCGCTGGCAAAAGGGAGAGAAACAGATAGAGATCATCTGAGGTCAAAGCACTTCTGCCACCAGAGGGAAAGTCTCATGCTCTTCAACGACGAGACGGAAAGCAGCTTCCACTGCATGGAACTGCTCCACCAGCAGAGATCTCAGTTTTTCTTCCACAGCAAATGCACATGTTACGCATGTTTGAACAAGGCATCAACTATGTCATGTGTCATAGATGACTAATTAGATAGAGCATGTGTTGTAATTACCGTGTCCAAGCCTTTGTTCTGGTTGAGGCCCCAGAAGACATGCCCCACCCAGCTGGGAAGGCCATGGAAAAGGGCACAAACCAAAAATCATGGATGCTCAGATGTTGTGTGGAGGTCATAGTGACCAAGTCAAAGTGGAAATTGGTTCAGTATGTCAGATCTTAATGTGCGTTGTACAGAGGTATGTGAACCTTTTGCTTTCTGGATGTTTCAATTAGAGTACTTTGTTAAAATAATGGTTTAAACTATAGACCATTAAAAATGTAAAGTTGTTTGAAGCAAACAATAGTAAAAAATATGCGTATCACGATACTAACTACTATTGTTTGATCCAACTGCTAAGTGCGTTCAATTCGTCGTGGCATGTCACACCCCGAGTGGATCAAATGCAAGTAACTTGTGGACTTCACAACCGGTTTGCACAGCTTTTGTAGAAACTCTTGAAGTTGGAACATAACTAGCCTTGATGTGACCCTTTGAACGGGTTTCAGCAAACATTGGGCCCAATATGAAGTGTCCATTCAACAGACAGCAAATCTTTGGCTACTCAATTGACATTTCGGATAATAATACTTGTAGCACGATGTTTGATGATTTGTTGTGGAGCTTCGCGGAAAGCAATAAATCGCAAAGATGACCTCTCAACGGCGCCAACCTGGCCCCACCGTTTGCTAACAACAACTACTACAACAACAACAGCAACTACTACTACTACTGCTACTACGACGACTTCTACGACTACCACTACCACGACCACCACCACCACCACCTCCTCCTCCTCCTCCTCTTCCTCCTCCTGCTACGAAAACAGCAACTCCCCCATCCCCTTGTCTCCCTTTCCCCTCCTTCCTCTTTTCCTCTCCCCAGTTGTGGGCCCCTGGGCTTTCGGGCGGAAGCTAGGCTTTCTCGGCAGCGGCCCGTGCACCGCCCACAGGGCCTTCGATTCCTAACCGAAGGTTAACCGGGGAGCTGCCGACCCGCCGACCCGTAGGTCGACTGATCCAACCTAAGAGCGATGGCCTCCAGCCTACTAGCCTACTAGCGATGCACTTGTTACTAGTAGCGATGCACTGGTTTCTAGTAGCTTCTTGTTACTAGTAGTAAGGCACTTGTTACTAGTAGCGATGCCAGGAGCCCTAGTAGCGTCTTTGCTCCTAGTAATGGCCGTTTCTTGTCACTAGTAGTAATGGCCTCCATAATCGATTCTCAAGGCTGTTCCCACTTCTACCCACTCAAGACCGTGTGCTACGGATTTTACCCATTTGGTGCACCACGATGGCCCAAAAGCAACGTCAGACCGTGCCACACCTCCTGGCATCGCTACTAGGAGCAAGGACGCTACTAGGGGCTCCTGGCCTTACTACTAGGAGCAAGGCAACACTGGTAACAAGAAGCACCAACTCCAATTGACATCTCTTAGGGCCAAGAGACGTACACCTCGCCACGCTCCCGAAGACAGGTGTGAATGAAATTCAACCGAGTTCCTGTTGAGGCCGCAGTGAACTTAAGTAACTAGTATGGGTGAGTAGTCGCTTAAGAAGCTACTACCTAGGACGGAGGAAAATTCAGTAACTTCAAGGGGGTTGGGAGAGCTTCCTTGAAGCACCATTCATTTGGTTCCTAGATTCTTGGAGGGATCACTTGTTTCAATAGCGTATTCCTGGTTTCCTGAAACGGGATCATCAGCGTATTCGCTTGCGCGCTCCCCTGATGCAGGCAGGGTCTACGGATATAGTTATAGTAGTTCCCCATCCTGCGACAAGAAGTTGTGATTGACCAAGACTTACGCAAGATATTAGGTTGGAGGCCATTGCTAGTAGGTTAGAGGCCACTAGTTTGAGCTTATCTCCCAACCTGCCTTCCCCCATTTCACTTTGTCAACGGGAGGCCTTCCCTGCAACCAGCGCTGGAGTACCTGAACCTCCACTGCACAGGCGCTTTCGGAGGAATGAAAGGACCATTTAAACTGAGTTAAAAATGCTCCTAGTAGCGTCCTTGCTCCTAGTAGCGATGCCAGGAGCCCCTAGTAGCTTCTTGTTCCTAGTAGCTTCTTTTTACATGTAAAATATGTCATGATAGTTGATGATAAACAATTTTAAACAATTTATTGTATGTTGCGCATGAACAGTCATTCCATGAGATTTTTCAACTGAGGCCTTTCGGAGGCTTGGATCGCCTGAACAGCGCCAAGAATCGATTCAAGAGATTCTTTCAGGTGCGAGAATCGATTCAGCGAGAGTCTCGAAGAAAGGAAGATAAGGCACCTAGTAGCGATGGCCTCCAACCTACTAGCGATGGCCTCCAACCTACTAGCGACGGCCTCCAATCTACTAGCGATGCCTCTTTAAGGAGACCTCAGACCTTACCTCATTTTTCATGTTTCCTCTCCGTTTTAATGCCGATGGGCCAAAGCATTTTGCTATCATTTGTTTGTTTTTTGTGTTTGATAGAGAATATGCATTGTCACATGAGAATGCAACTTCGCGAGGAATCAGATCAAGTTGTCTCTCCGGTGGACATGCAACGTGATGAGAGGAAAGAGTCTGAAGGCCATGGCAGCCATGAGTCAAACAAATAAGGCAGACAGTAACAAGAAGCTACTAGGTGGAGGCCATCGCTATTAGGTTGGAGGCCATCGCTACTAGCTAATTTCCTACTAGTAACAAGAAGCTACTAGAAACAAGTGCACATTGTTTCCTTTGTTTGCTGTCAAGGAAGTGGCTGAGTGGTGGCTCATCGTCTTTGTTCATTTCACCCGACTTACACAAAGAGCAAGTCTTGGAATCTTCTGCTCTGTTGTGAACAACTCGGAGAAAAGGAGTTTTCCTTTGTCCTTTCATTCAATTGAGCATGGTGCATGGTTCATTTCATTATGGCCGGTACTGCATAGCCCCGCCAGTAGGTTTCTGCGGCCAGTTTCCTCTAGTCCATAATGCAATTTGGGGACCCTGCAAAGGCAACTTGAGCAGTTTTTCAAACAAGTGGGAAAAGAAAAGCATGCTAAGCAGCTCTAGCAGCTAACATGCCCCAAAAGAGGTTTGAGTGCCACAGACGAAACAACTAAATACCATGCAGATGTCCTCCGTGGTTGTCCATTGAAGAAGCATGCAGAAGGTGTTTAACATACTCTATTGTTACCTATGCTCCGTGCGTGTTCAATGGTTTCATGTTTGGACATAAAAATTAGGTTGGAGGCCCCTGCTATTAGAAACAAAGAAACTAAGAAGAGGAAGAAAGGTTTACTAGGAGCAAGAAAGCTACTAGTAACAAGAAGCTACTAGGAGCAAAGGGCATCGCTACTAGGAGCGAGGACGCTACTAGGGGCTCCTGGCCGTACTACTAGGAACAAGGACGCTTTTAGGTGCAAGAAAGCTATTAGTAACTTATGTTTACTGGCAGAAACAGGCCGCCTTGGTGACGATCTGTGAAGTTGCCATGGGACCTACAGGTTTGCGACGGTATTTGGTGAAGCTGCCAACGACTTTGAATCCAGGAACGACAACAATAGCTTTATGCTTTACTCTTCTGCTTTTGTGGTGTTTATTTAAACATTGAAGAAATCATTTGTTTATTCTCAAGAAGTCGTTTTGGCAGTTGGTCTTCTCGTTTTGTTGAGGGTAGGTCGTGGCCCGCAGTCGTCACCAATGGTCCTGCCGAACCCGTCCCCAGTGCACACGAAGACTTGCTCATCTCCGCTCGGAGCCGCTCGCATTGAGGAAAGCGAGCGGCTATTGGGTGTGTGGAGTTGCTTCGTCTTCGAGACAGCAGACAACTCGTATCCAATCTATTTTGCATGCTGCTCAGAACAATCGTGAGTCTCCTGCAGCAAACAAGCTTGTTTTTTGTTATTTGACGTGTACAATATATTCTATTATGTATTGTGTTTATTTCTTTGATGTTAGTTGAATTCTCTGCTCAAAGAATGCAAATTGGTTGATATGCTATTTGTTTTTTTGGTATGAAGAAAGTAGGTTGGAGGCCTTTGCTCTTAGGTTGGAGGCCATCGCTGTTGTGATGTTGGGACAACACGAGGATTTCAGCTGCCGATGCCGAAACTCTCCTTCAGGCATTTGGACCTGACTTGTTGGCTCTCGCCCAAGCAGCTGATGAAATGAGATCCAGAGCCGTGGGAGGTGAAGTGACCTATGTGGTCAACCGGAATATCAATTTCACGAATGTCGCCTGTCTCAAGAACAAAAGAATTGCGGGGGAGCCGGCAGTGGAGTTGCTAATGGAAGTGCTATGTTTGCCACACATTTGCACTTCATGAAAGCTATCAGGCGTTCAAAAGCACCAGTATTGAGAAGACCAACGCCAAAGAGGCAGCCAATGACAGCCAAGCCATGTCCACCCGAAAAAAGAGGGGGCCCAAGCTGGTGACATTGATCATGAATCCAAGCTCGCTGCCACCCGCAAGAAGTGTTCCTAGTAGCAATGCCAGGAGCGCCCCTAGTAGCGTCCTTGCTCCGTTCGTAGCGATGCCCTTTGCTGCTAATAGCTTCCTGTTCCTGGTAGCTTCTTCAAGGTTCACAGAATGTTGCACATGCACAACTTCTGCAACGTGTTCATTTCGACCACAAATTGCAGCAAGCCATGCGCTCCGAAACTGGAAGAATGCAGAACAAAGCTTGCGACTTCCCCACATTCTCACGGTTTTGGCAGCTCGCGAGTCGCTGAGACTAGTGTAAAAGCAACACGAAGCATCACGAAGCAAATTTGTGCAAACACCGAAAATGCATCTCCGACAGAGACCGGAATCTACGCAACGTTTGTGCGATCCTGGCAGGCAGAATCCCACCCAGGCAGCCACACAACGATTGTCCTCTACACAGTGCCGCATATTGCTTTGGGAATTGACATGTTGCGATTGAAGGGCGGCTTATCAACTCTTCCTTTCTTCCCTCACTTGAACTCTCAGTTGCTTACCTTTCTTGGACGCTATTAGGTGGAGGCCATCGCAAGTAGGTTGGAGGCCTTCGCGACCAGGAGCAAGGACACTACTAAGTAACAAAGGACATCGCTACTAGGAGCAAGAAGCTATTAGTAGCTCTTGTTTAGTTCTGAAGAGAGTTGCGTGAAACCAGTTTCAGGTTTGCGTGAAACGCTGCGGCTTTTGCGCCTTCAGCCGGACTGGTGGCAAAAGCGACGAAGGTTATTTCCTTCCTCTTGAGGAGATCTTGCGGCGGGCAACAGAAGCGCAGGAGCTGGGAGCTACTGAAGTTTGCGTGCAAGCAGGATTGCCACCAAACATGCAACTTGACAGGCATGCGCAGACTCATTGGATGGAGGCTTTAGTATTCAGAGGAAAGAAGTATATGTTCAGAAGGTTTGGGAGAGTTGCGTTTTGTAGCTATGTACCCAGCTTGCAGTCGTGTCCAAAGGTCGCCTGTTTGTAGCCCCAAACATCTAGGAACAAAGGGCATCGCGACTCGAACGGAGCGATCGGACGCTACGAACGGGGCTCCTGGCCTTACTACTGGGAACAAGGGCATTTCTACTAGTGCGAGCGCTTCTGAGCTTCCTTGAAGAAGCGCGAGCTATCCTGCGTCCAGTCGGTAGTAGCTACTTGCAGGTGTAGCTACCTCAGTTCCTACTAGCTACCTACCTAGCTACCTCCACTCGCAGCCTACCGCCTCCAAAAAAACGAAGATTTGGTGTGGACTCCAAATTCAATGTTTCGCAGCCTAGCATTGTGAGATACGCTTGGCTCAGGCAAGGTTCTCTCTATGAAACCATTGCGAAGGCTATCAAACACAGGCAAGGCTGGTGTGCCACGAGATTTGCAAAGCATGGCTAGTAAGCCAATATAAGCTAATGGCCACCTACCAGTTCTTTTGTCGTACACAAACCTTGGAAAGGCATCCGGACTTGCACCTTCACGCTTTCTCGCCTGAAGAAGTTCTTTGGGGAGCCAAACGTTCCAATTTGGCCATCCGTGACTATCTCTTGAAGCTCAAGGACGCTGGCGTTGATAGTTTGCCAGGCACCAGTGCTGAGATCCTCGACAATGAATTGCGGGCACAAGTGTCCAAAGGCCGTATCTCAGTGGAAGAATGGATTCATGTTGTCTCCACAGCTCACTCCCTTGGGTTTCCAACAACTTCCACCATGATGTTTGGCTTTTGCGAATCGCCGCGGCATGTGGCCAACCACCTGATCTTGCTTCGAGACCTCCAAAAACGTGCGCAAGAGTCCTCTCAAGGGGGATTCACAGAATTTGTAGCTTGGCGGCAAAGAGTGGAGAGGGAAAGCGTAGAGGGGCTCCTGGCATCGCAGCAAGGACGCTCCTAGGAGCAAAGGGCATCGCTACAGTATAGACACTGCGCACAGTGCAGGCTGCACCGCAAGTTCCAAGTCAGGTCTACCTTAAGGAGCCTGTGGTTGTCAGTTTCAGTGCTCCTTGGGAATGCTCGAAAGTGCGTGGAAACACGGAATAAGGGTTTCATCCCGGCTTAGGAAACACAGTGTCAGGAAAAGGTAAACTTATGCATGTGCGAGGAAGTTTGCGCATCATTACCTCTTCGCCATTGTCAATGCAATCATCACGGTTATCACCATCATCACCATCATGATTGTATTCAATCCTCATCACCTTCCATCATCCTCAACACCATCACCACCGGGCTATGTTTAGAGGCTTTCTCACAGGACATGCATTGGAATAATCGAAATGTCGCTGTGGCTAGCAAATGGCCGTCATTGGATGTGTTCTGCTCCTTGTAGGGCGTGTACAAGGGGCGCACACCGTTTGGTTGCATTTTTGCCACGAGCCTGCCTGCCCACCGAAACTAACTTCAGCTTCCCCCCCCGGAGAACTAGCGGGTACTTTCACCAGCGGAGCTAAATCGGAAACTTCAACGCGGGAAGACGCTACTGCCTCATGTTTCCACAGCATGTTTTCTAGTTGAGACAAGTGGAAAAGTCATGGAACATCATGTGCTTCACGCGGTGGCATTCTGAAGCCAAGGTGCCCTTAGGGTTTGTCGCATCAGAAGCTCCAATGTGGAGATCCGAACCTGCAGGGCCGGAAGCGGAAGACGCTGGAGACTTTGCAACTCCGCAGCTGCCTCGAGTCCGGCCAGGGCCAACTGGGGTGGAGCTTTTGCGCACCCATGCTGTGGCGAGACTGGTCTTCAACCCCTTTCTGCCAGGAGAACTGAAACGAAACTTCATACAGCCCTAATGAATGTGTGTGTGTGTGTTTCGATGATGATTGCCTTGCACACGGCATGCATTTGCGAACTCATTAATTACTATCACTGAACTGGTTGTTTAGTCACAGTATGTCACAGTCCTTCTCTAGAAATCTCCGCCCTGGTTTCTCAAGATGACAAAACCTACAATATGATGCAAGCAAAGCCAAGCATCCTTGGATGATGGGTGTGATTTGCTGCGGCGCGACACTGCTCGAAAGCGTTGGGCAATCGTTTGAACGGGTGTGTGATGGAGACGTGATTTCGAAAACACAGGAATCCAACCTAGTTGTTTTGATGTGGTTGCTTTCCGTTCGTGGACACGTCGCAGATTGTGATCTGTTAGAGGAGGTATCCGGAACATTCAAGTCAGTTGGGTCAAGGAAGGCTTCAAGGTGGCGCAGCTGCTTTTGGCTTGTGGCGCCAACGACCTGGGAGGGACGTTGATGAATGAAAGCATCTCTACCGCTGCAGGTGCGCTACTGGCCATCGCTAGTAGGTTGGAGGCCATCGCTAATAGAAACAAAGAATGAATAGGAAGAAAGGAGTCTTATATTTGCTATCAGGTTGAAGGCCATCTCTACCGCCGCAGGTGCAACGCATGGGCAATTGGCTAGACCCAAAGACTTGCAGAACCTTGTTTGGAGCCTGGGCGATCCTGCACGCTCCGTGGCACAGAGGAACCTTTAGACATCCTTGGAGTTTTCTTTCTTCTTTTTGCTATCCAAAAACTTCGATTCTAGTTTTGTTCTCACTCTAGTTCTTCTTTAAACCTCTTTCTATTTGCTTTGATGTCCTTTGTTTGTCTAAGTACAACAAATCTTGTCTGACCTTTTTGTTTCTTGTATTTGGAAATGTGTGCATGGTTCTTTACACTTTCAGACCTTGACTGGCAGTTGATTTGTTTGGTTCTGTAGCTGTGTATAGCTCTTGACATGCTTTTCAGTTTTCTCATACCTTGAGACCTTGCTTTTGTTCTTGCTTCATGTGTTTTAAAGCCTCCAGGCCTCTATTGTCAGTTTTTACTTTGCAAGCTGTTTGCCTGTGGTTGTTCTGTCGATGTTCGACTTTTTGAAAGGCCTTTCCTTCTAGGTGTTTTGTTTATTTTGCGAGCTGCCTATAGAAGTCTTTCCGTCTTTCCCTTCGCTTTTTCTTCGTTTGCCTGGGGCCTCGTGTGCTCGGCGCAGAGGAGCACTTGCTACGAGATTGTGCGCCGCTTCCAAAACCCCGCTGTCATCGTCGGTTCATCGCTGTCTGAAGAGCAGGCGCTTGAGCCATCGCCGCCGGTTGAGGGAGACATGTCTCATTCGGCTTTGGACGTCTTTCCACCAACTAGGAGCTACTAGGAACAAGTGCCTTACTAGTAGTAACAGGTGCCTTACTAGTAGTAACAATGTTTGCTATTAGAAACAAGTGCCTTACTACTAGGAACACAAAGAATTTAATTAGAATTCTAATTACTAGCAAAGAAGCCATCGCCGCCGGTTGAGGGAGAGATGTCTCATTCGGCTTTGGACGTGGTGGATGCAAAGAGCTTTGGTTCTTTTCACCAACTCATCTCCTCTCCTGACCACCGCTTTGCCTCAAAGCGAGCAAGCAAGAGGGTTACAACAAATACAACGACTACTGGCTTGGGCGGTGTGCGCGGTGTGCACCTTGCGCGGACTGGCAACGCTAGACATTTCAGCTCTGAGCCTGACTGCATGGATGGTTGCGTGCGAGATCCTTTGAAGAATCAGGAAACCTCTTTGTCAAGTGTGTCAAGACGAAGAATCACATATTCTCCTTCCTTCACGCTGGTGCCAACCTTTGAATGCTTCAACCTTTGCACTTACTGCCACTCAGACTAGTAGCGATGGCCTCCACCCTACTACCCGTTACTAGCCATGGCCTGTAAGAAATCAACTGCTCCGAGGCAACTTAGCTAGTAGCTTCTTGTTACTAGTAGTAAGAATGCTCCTAGTAGTAAGGCCAAGAGCCCCTAGTAGCGTCCTTGCTTCTAGTAGCGATGCCAGGAGCCCCTAGTAGCTTCTTGTTACTAGTAGTAAGGCCAGGAGCTACGTTCGTAGCATCCTTGCAAAATCAACTCCGAGGCAACTTCCGCAAAAACATTACCAAATCTGGCGACTGGATGGATGAAGCCACAGCCAGGGCGAAATTGAAACTCCACCAGTCGAGCGGAGTCCAGGAGATCTTGGTCATGGCTGGAGAAGTCCACCCAAGAGCGTCCAATCGAAATCAGTGGGTCGGTAGGGCAACTAGGCTGCAAGTGTCTCCCAGAGATGCCCTTTGTTCCGTGTAGCTTTTTGCTCCTAGTAAGGCCAGGAGCCCCTAGTAGCGTCCTTGCTCCTCTGTTATTTTTCTTGTTTTGCGAGAGATGTGATGACTAGATATGTGACGTTTGAGATGATTGGGTTTTTCTTCCAGCTCATTGTCGCTGGGGATGTTTGCTTTTGTGACAATGGGGATTGAAGTTTGAGTATTGAAAACACGTTGGAAGATGTTTTAAGTGGTTTTTTGCGAAGATGCTCACGACAAAACTGTGACGAGTGAGCTGGTCACGTGATGATGTCCGATGTGGTGGTGTAGTGCAGTCAGTTTTGGTGAAGTATCTTTTTGTTCCTAGTAGCGATGCCCTTTGCTCCTAGTAGCGTCCTTGCTCCTAGTTTGTTTATCTATCTTCACTCTTGGCGAAGCAACCAAGATTGGCATCGATTTAGGCCGATGGCAAATTGAGACTTTTCATGAAGGAGCTGCAAACTTTTGGCCGGCATATCTGCTAGTCAAAGGAAGTTTAGTGTGCAAAACTTCCGTGTTACGGACATTCAAGAGCTGTTCAACCACCACTCATCATACACCACTGGTCAACCACCACTCATCATACACCACTCGTCATACACCACTGTTCAACCACCACTCATCATACACCACTCATCATACACCACTGTTCAACCACCACTCATCATACACCACTCGTCATACACCACTCATCATACACCACTCATCATACACCTCTCATCATACACCACTCATCATACACCACTCATCATACACCACTCAT